TTTGTTTTTGTCTCTCTGTGTAGCTCAGCATCCTTAGTTTGTTTCACACAGAGTCTCGATGTGTAGCTCAGCAACCTCAAACTCCTAGGCTCTAGCTATCCTCTTGCCTCAGCCTCCCATGTAGCTGGGCCCACGCCATGGGGCCCTGCTAAATTTTTCTATTCTTTTAGTAAATGAACGCACATATAGTGAGAATAAGATGGAGTCTATCAGGCTGGGGCAGACATGACATAGCTGGTTTGGCCAGTTTAGGTCCTGCCTGACCTTCACCCCATCTCCCATTCTTACTGTTTTGTAAATTTAGCTCCCACCCTAAAGATGCCTATCTTGAGTAGATAAGGTAGATTAACTTCTGAACTAGAATGTTGTAATAGGTTACGAAATTATGCTGATTATTATTTGGAATAGGAGTTGGTATGTCTTTGCTTTGAACTTTTATGTATAAAAGTGTAATCTGGGGTTCCGTGCCTATCACTCAAGCAGCTAAGGTGCCAGCCACGTACATTAGAGCTCCAGGGTTTCGAATCCAGCCCAGGCCTGCCAAACAACAATAACAACTATGACCAAAAAATAGCCAGGCGTTGTGGTGGGTGCCTGTAGTCCCAGCTATTTGGGAGGCTGAGGCAAGATAATCGCTCAAGCCTAGGAGTTGGAGGTTGCTGTGAGCTATGGTGCCATGGTACTCTACCCAGGGCAACAGCTTGAGGCTCTGTCTCAAAAAAAAAAAACAAAAAAACAACCTTATAATTTTGGAAATGGAAGATGAGCACAGTCTTGGGGAGGCCACTCTCACTGTTCTCCAGAATCCCAGCCTTCTGACAAAGTCTGGTGGACATATCCCTGACTCTGCATATTGGCTGACATTGACTGGCAGCCAGGCCCTTTCCTTCTGGTGACAGAGTGACAGGGGTCTCCAACTCCTGATTATAGGCATGAGCAACTGTGGGCCTGTGTGTGTGTGTTTGTTTTTGCGATTAAACTAATATGAATTTAATTATTAGGGGCTATAAGTTGCAGACTAAAAATATATTCAGCAAGAGCAGAGGCCTGGGTAACTTCCAAAGTGCTCTTATTTTTTATAAAACATGTTCTTGCCTATACATACAAACACGCACACGCACATGCAAATGCAGAAGAAAATATGTTGCAAGTAATGCTCCATATGGTTTGAAAAGTTCTCAAGACCATTTTTAAATGGAGCTGGTACATTATATTTTTAAGCAGCAGGTTAATTTTGAATCCCTCCCTCCCCACAAAAAGGTTCCTTAAGACCCTGTCTTTTAAAACAGAAAAATCTGCAATAAAATCTGTAATTCCATAGAGTGAGAAATGTCAGTTTTGAGAAATGACATTCAGATTGGCAATGTGTCTCATGGTTGGCCTTCCACGGGGACAGTTCCAGGGGTGGTCCATCTCACCCATGTGGGTGATGAGCTTCTTCATCTCACTTGTGTTAAGAGCAGTTCCAATCATTACTGACTTTCGACAGGCTGAGGAGGCAAACATCTGCCTAACTCTGGAAGGCTGGCACATGACCCCAGAGCTGTCACTTAGCATAAAGATCATTTCATCTATATCCTGAGGTCCAAAGGTCCAGTTTTTACTAGTTGGCAAGGAAATCAATTTAGCCCTTCCAGTGACTGGAGCACTTTCATCAATAATAAAATCAAAGTCATTTTTCCTGAATATTTCCAGATTTTCTATCAAAATAGCTTCACTGACAACAGTTGAGACTCTGAGGTACTATAAGGCGCTGACCCTGGACAACAGTGTGCTGTTGTAACATCTCAAAGTTATATTTCTCATCAGTAGCATACTGGTCTACTATGAAGATATCTTCATTATAAACCCCAAGTTAAACTAACCAATGTCTTCCTTTTTTTTTTTTTTTTTTTTTTTGCAGTTTTTGCTCTGGGCTGGATTTGAACCCACCACCTCCAGTATCTGGGACCAGTGTCCTACTCCTTTGAGCCACAGGTGCCGCCCAATGATTTCCATTTGCAAACATTGTTTTACTTACCTCTTTTCTTAGTTCATCTTCTGCTGCTTGATTTTCTCCAGGGTAAATCTTTGCCCTAAATTTCCTATACTTCTGTCCACCAGCACTTTGCTGTTCTTGGGGATATAACTGCTTTATTCATTTAGCTAAAGAACTCAGAGAAAAGGCTCAGCACCTGTGGCTCAAGTGGCTAAGGCGCCAGCCACATACACCTAGGTTGGCGGGTTCGAATCCAGCCCGGGCCGCCAAACAATAATGACGGCTGCAACCAAAAAAATAGCCGGGCATTGTGGCAGGTGCCTGTGGTCCTAGCTACTTGGGAGGCTGAGGCAGGAGACTCGCTTGAGCCCAGGAGTTGGAGGTTGCTGTGAGCTGTGATGCCACGGCATTCTACCCAGGGATAGCTTGAGGCTCTGTCTCAAAAAAAAAAAAAAAATAAAACTCAGAGAAAAGTCCAGGGGCATGATTTTCTTATTAATTTTATTTATTATTGTTATTATTTTTTATAGAGACACAGTCTCACTTTATCGCCCTTGGTAGAGTGCCGTGGAGTCACACAGCTCACAACCACCTCCAATTCCTGGACTTAGGCCATTCTCTTGCCTCAGCCTCCCTAGTAGCAGCTCCCGCCACAACTCTCGGCTATTTTTTTGTTGCAGTTTGGCCAGGTCCGGGTTTGAACTTGCCACCCTTGGTATATGGGGATGGCACCCTACCTGCTGAGCCACAGGCACCGCCCTGCTTATTAATTTTAACAGCTACATCAACCCGAGATGCTGAAGTATTCTGAATATTAACTAACTTTTCAGAAAAGTCAGAATCTGAAGGAATTTCTTTCTTAAAATGCTTTGTGTTTGGGGTTGAGAGATTAGTTGGCTGGGGCAAAGCTCTAAGTTATATCCAATATCTTCTTGGTTTAAACGGCATTCCACATCTGAAAGATGATAGTTACTTTCAGGTAATTTTTCACAAGATTCCATGTTTTCCTGCAAAAACCTGTCTTCCAGGGAGCTCACTGCAGGGTCACTGCTGACCTGTCTGTGTCTGGAGTGCTAAACCTGCCCTCTGAGCCAGCTGAAGTGCTGCTGTGACCCAAATCTATCTCCCTTTCTGCTCTGTCCATGTGGTCACCAGAGCCCTTACTTGAAATCATCACCTTTTCCTGAGAACCTAGGAAGTCTCTGCCAGAGATGGGATCTGAAGCCCTAGAAGATGGTACATTCCTTTTCTGTCTTGGAGAGTTCCCTCTTGGCTCAGGAATTTCCACATCCTGAGACTTGTTCTTTGTTGCATGATGAAGAGAAAAGGTCTCTGTCAGTCTGGAAATGAATACAGCCCTTTTTTCTTTCCTTGAGTCTTTAACGAAGGGGAATTCTGCTGCTTTTCTGACAGAGGCTGTTCCAATTCTGCTGCATGCATTTTTATTAAGTTACCTTCAATATCCAATAGAAGTCTTTAAAAGTGCTAACAAAAGCTGCTTCTTCTTCTTCTTCTTCTTTTTTTTTTTTTTTTTTTTTGAGACAGAGCCTCAAGCTGTCCCCTTGGGTAGAATGCTGTGGCATAGCTCATAGCAACCTCCAACTCCTGGGCTCAAGTGAGTCTCCTGCCTCCGCCTCCCAAGTTGCTGGGACCACAGGCGCCCGCCACAACGCCTGGCTATTTTTTTTTTTTCGGTTGCAGGAATCGTTGTTTGGTGGGCCTGGGCTGGATTTGAACCCATCACCTTAGGTGTATGTGGCTGGCGCCTTAGCCACTTGAGCCACAGGCGCCAAGCCAAAAGCTTCTTCTCTTGTAGTAAAATTTGCCTTTTATCTGGAGTAACATTGATATCAACACATTCTGAATCAACAGAAATGTTAAGAACAACAAATGGATATTGATGTCAATTATACACGTGGTAGTGGTAGACCTCATTCACAAGTCTGGAGATCTTTGCTGGGTCACAAGGCCGCCCACTGATAAAGAAAATTTGTCGGTCAGTTGAACTCCTCCCAAAGCCATGAGCGCATTATGAAATGAAACATCAACATTAGTGGCACCAGCATCCACACTGTTTTCTCTTTCACTGCAGTGCTTAGACTCAGTACCACCTACCCAGAACAAATCTGATGGACTTCTGATCAATAGGTCTGATGGCCATAGCGGGTTCTCGCACCCTCAGCTCACTCCATAGATGCAGAATCCGATCCGCCTCAGACTGCGAGAGAGCTCCCCATGCGGGCCTGTTTTTAGTACTACTAAAAATTGAGCACTGAGAGGAGAAAGGCAGGTGAGGGAATTTACAATTTTTAGAAAGTGAATTGATGCTTTATGCACAAAATGTTACGGGATTGACGCTTGGGTCCTACAGGGAAGAAAAAAAGTCCTCTAGAAATTAGCCTAAAACAGAAAAGTAGACAAACCACAATTCCCTCGACCAATATAGGGCAAGCTACAAGATAACATTCTGAGCAAAGGCATGTAGACGAAACCGAGTGCTGAGCATCACAAACGACACCAAGTCACTCTGCTGCGTTGTGTTGCCTGAAGCTGCTTGGAGCGTATGGGTCCAAAGATGAGAAAACCCTAGCTAGCCTTGGTCTCCCGGCAGGTTTTAACGCTAACCCGCAACCTGTTATTCTGTTTTCCACGCAGTTGTAATTGTATTCGGGTCTGTAGGGTAGGGCAATGCGCAGGCGTACTTACAACCGAGTGACCTTGGCACATGCGCAGTATGTAACTCTGAAGCCAAAAATGAGGTGATTGAGGGCAAATTTTTTCCCAAAACGTCCCTTACTGGAACTCGGAGACTGCGACTGTCTTCATTTCTGGCGATGGTTTTTACGTCTCAATATGACCTCTCCTTTTCTTCTGGGCTTTTTTAGTAAATCGGCTGCCATTACCCAACATGGCGAGCGGCCCCCGCGGTGCAGCCCGCCCCTAGGCGCGCTATCCCGCCGGGCGGGAGGACGGAAGTTTGGGGGGCGGGGTCTGGGCCTGAGCCGGGCGGTGGGACCCCCGCCCCTCGCCGAGCCGGAGCCGCTGCTGCCGCTGCTCCCGCGCTGAGGAGCACGCCGGGAATCTGCAGGAGCCGATCGCGGTGAGGTGGGGCCTCAGGGGCAGGCGAGAGGTGCCCAGATTAACGGTCCGAGGCCCGGAGAGCCGCCCGCCTAGGGTGCCTGAGGGAGTCCCGTTCGGGCTGCGGCCTCCAGTTACCTGGGAGCAGCCCGAGGCCCAGAGAGGGGCTGGTACTGGTCCTAGGGCTCCCGCTTGGTTTGCCTCGGCTTCCTACAGTCGCCACCACTCTGGGCTCCAGCCCGCGCAGAGAACTTCCCGACCCAATCCCGGGGTGTCAGGATGAGGCACGGCACTCTCCCGCCCATCTTGCTCCCAGTGTCTTGGTGGCTTTGCACGAGATGTGTCCGAAAGCCCGGTGCCTCCGGCGCCGAAGTCTGGAACTCTCATTTTTCAGGACCCTACTCAAATATCACTTCTCAGTCGCGCTCTGCAGGCGCGGGGACGTTCGTTCCTCGGTTTTTGCACTCACTCTACCGAGTTACTTTTCCTGCTCCCTTTTGATACCAGGAGCTCGTTCGTTAGATGTTATGCCTTGCCTTTTTCATCTCTATATCCTGGAGTCTAGCACATGATGACAGTAATAGCTACTGTTTACTGAATAGTCGCAAAGTGTTGGTACTGGTAAATGCCTTTACAGGACCAGTCAGGTGCTGGTAAATGCCTTTACACGTAAAGGCCCATTTAATCCTCAGGGCGATTTTATAAGATGGGCTCTATCTTCACATTTTACACATAAAGAAACCAAGGCCTTCATAGATCAAGTAATTTGCCTGGAGTCCCACTGCGAACAAGTGGGTGGAGCTGGGAAGCTGCCCACAAGACACGTGATAACTTCCCTCGGTTCCCAAACGTCTGTAGAATTGATCTTTACATCAGCCCTGTTTGAGTTATGGAGGCTGGAATTATGATCTACAATTTATTGAGAAGGCTGAGAAAGGACAGTTGATGTCCCCAAAATGATCGAGTTGTAACAAAACCAAGGCTAGAACCTAGGTTTTCCTATTGGTCCTATTGGTTTTCCTTCAGTCACAATTCTGTAATACCTTTCTTTGCTCCTTTTGCATCAAAGAACTGCAGACCTACGTGTCATTATTTCTCATCATTTAGGAAGTTCCCCTTACAGTCCTGTGATTTCATTGTTTGTATTATACTTTTTTCTTTTTTGGGGGGAGGGGGACAGAGTCTTTATTTTGTTACCCTCAGCAGAGTGCCGTGGCCTCATAGCTCATAGCAACCTCAAACTCTTGGGCTCAAGTGATCCTGTTGTCTCTGCTTCCGGAGTAGCTGAGACTACAGGCCCTGCCACAACACGTGGCTGTTTTTAGAGATGGGGCTTACTGTGGCTCAGGTCTTGAACTCCGTAGGCAATCCACCCACCTCAGCCTCCCAGAGTGCTAGGATTATGGGCGTGAAGTCTGGCCAGTTTGTATCATACCTTAGAAGGCAACTCATGTAGAGAGAGCATAGAATTTGGGATCACACTGGGGTTCAATCTTTGCTCTGCCACTAATCAGTTATATCCCTTTCATTTTTTGAGAGTTAGTTTTGTCTGTAAAATGAAGATGACAGTAATCTTATTTCAAAGAGGTTTTTTTTTTCTTTTTGTGTTTTCGGAGACAGAGTTAACTCAAGACAAAGTAGCCCAGGCTAGAGTGCCATAGCATCAGCCTAGCTCATAGCAACCTCAAACTCCTGGACTCAAGCCATCCTTCTGCATAGCCTCCTGAATAGCTGGGACTACAGGTACATGCCACAATGTCCTGCTAATTTTTCTTTGCTTTTTTTTTTTTTTGAGACTAAGTCTCACTCTGTTGCCCTGGGTAGGGTACCATGGCATCACAGCTCATAGCAACCTCAAACTCCTGGGCTAAAGCATTCCTTTTGTCTTAGCCTCCCACGTAGACACCATGCCAGGCTATTTTTTTTTTTTTTTAAGTAGAGTTGGGGGTCTTGCTTTTGCTCAGGCTGGTATCCAACCCCTGAGCTCAAGCAATCCACCTGCCTCAGCCTCCCAGAGTGCTAGGATTACAGGTATGAGCCACTGAACTGGGCCTAATTTTTCTATTTTTGTAAAGACAGGGTTTTGCTGTTGTTTGGGCTGGTCTGGAAATCCTGAGCTCGAACATTTCTTCTGCCTTGCTCTCCCAGATCTTAAAGAGTTTTTAATAAGGATGGTAAGTGATTGTTGTGAAAAGAGTATGGTACTGTACAAATTGTACATGATCTCTCTCTCTTTTTTTTTTTTTTTTTTTTTGCTTTTTAAATGGCTATAAAACTGTCAGCATTCTGCAAGACCATTGGTGATAATGTGGATCGTTTTGCCTAATGTCCTTATATTCATTCAGTTAGTTAAATTTTTAATGGACTCCTTTTGTATACTATGTACTGTTTTAGGAGCTAGGAATATATCATTCAATAGAGTAATGTTTTTTGCATTTGTCATATTTACATTTTGGTTGGTGTGTTATACATAGGCATTAGATAGGAACAGAAAAAAACATGGTAAGGTAGAAATACCAGTGTGTGGAAAGGGGTGATGGTATTTGATGGTTAGGGAATAATTTACTGGGAAGGTGATATTTGAACAGAGACCTAAAGGTGATGAGGGAACATATCATGATGATTAGTGGAGAAAGAGGCCCTGATATTGGTGTGTTCCAAGCTGGCATAGCAAGGAGGGCTGTGTGCTAAAGGAATTCGAGCAAAGGGCAGAGGAGTAGGAAATGTTACTAAAACAAGTAGGGGCTAGCATTGAGTAATTAGGAGCCCATAGGCCATTATAAGAATTTTGGTTTTTACTCTGAGTAGCCTGGAGAGTTCTTTATTTTAAGAGACAGAGTCTTACTTTGTTGCCCTTGATAGTGTGCTGTGGTGTCACAGCAACCTCCAGCTCTTAGGCGATTCTCTTGCCTCAGCCTCCTATGTAGCTGGGACTATAGGCACCCGCCACAACACCTGGCTATTTTTTTTGTTGTTGCAGTTTGGCCAGGGCTGGGTTCGAACCCACCACCCTCAGTATATGGGGCCAGTGCCCTACTCACTGAGCCACAGGTGCCGCCCATCCTGGAGAATTCTGAGTGGCATAATCTGTCTTATATTTTAAAAGGATCATTCTGACTATTCTGTATAGAAGAAATAAAATTTAGAAAACATTGCTACCATTGAGGAAGCTTTTGTAGTAATCTAGATGTATTAGTTATCTATGACTGTGCAAGAAAGTATCCCCCAAGTTTAGCAGTTTAAAACAGCAGTCATTTATTATCTCACATATTTGTTGTAGATTAGAAATCCAGGAGCAGATTAGTGGGCTGTTTCTGGCTTAGAATATCTCTTGAAGCTGTAGTCAAGCTGGTGGCTGGGGTTGCCATCATCTGAATGCTTTAACTGGGACTAGGGAATTTGCTTCCAAGATGGCTCACCTAACACCTGCTGTTGGCAGGATGCCCCAGTTCCTTTCTTCTGGGTCTCTTCTTGAGGTTGCCTGCATGTCCTCAGTCTTCAGGACATGGTGAATGGCTTCCCACAGAGAAACTGATCAGAGAAGGATTGAGAAAGACTGAGAAAGACCATAGTACCTTCTATGACCTTGTCTCTGGTGTCATTTCTGCTTTGTTTTTGCTGTATTTAACTTTATTCCAGTTTACACTCAAGGGGAGAGAATTAAGCTCCACCTCTTGAAGGAAGGTTAAAGAATTTGTGGGCATACCTTAAAGCTACCATACCAGGCAGAAGGTTGCCTTGGCTCAGAATGGGGGTGGCAAGCAATCAAAAAATGATAGAATGTGACAGAGTCAACAGGATTTGCTGATGGATTGTTCATAGGTTGTGGGAGAGTGGGGTACATACAACCACAAGGCATTTTGCTTAAGCAGTCAGTAGGATGGAATTGCCATTTACTGAAGTGGGAAACATCAGAAGATGTATCGCCTTCCTAAATAATGTTTGTGTGACATTACCGGTAGCCTTAGCCTAAAAGAAGATTTAATGAAAATTCTTGGAACTGTGGCAGAACTGCTTGTAGAGATACTAGGTTGAACTACATGAAATTGCCATTTTTGTAGGTAAAAAATGATGGGTGAGGCTCAGCGCCTATGGCACAAGTGACTAAGGTGCCAGCCACATACACTTGAACTGACGGGTTCAAATCCAGCCCTGGCCTGCCAAACAACAATGACGGCTGCAACCAAAAAATAGCGAGGCATTGTGGCAGGCTCCTGTAGTCCCAGCTACTTGGGAGGCAGAGGCAGGAGAATCAGTGATTGAGTCCAGGAGTTAGAGGTTGCTGTGAGCTGTGATGTTGCGGCACTCTAGCCAGGGTGACAGCTTGAGGCTGTCTCCAAAAAAAAAAGGGTGGATATAAGCAATTCAATATGTTCAGCCTAACATACTGGGATAGGAATTCAAAGAAAGGTGAAGCTCCTACTCTCTGCAGGAGCCTGTCTCACCTCATAGTATTATAGAGAAAAGGTTCCTCAGTTCCCTTGAAGCAGCTTGGATCTGCACTTGTTGGTAGAGCATTGGCAGAAATCCTGGGGTAAGAGAGCGGTTTCCTGGGAGGTCCGTACCTCCAGTCAGCAGAAAGGGATTGAGCTTTATTGAACTTAGCAGAGCCAGCTTTTTACAGATCCATGGTGAGTGGTGACACAGGTGGCAGAACGAAAGGGCAGAAAAGAAAGACGTTTAGAGTACAGGCAGTCCCTGAGTTACAACATCCGACTTACATACAACTTGTACTTACGAGTGGAGGCTATTACAGGTTATAGGTACATGTACCTGTTCCAAACTTACATACAAATTCAACTTAACAAACCTACAGCACTTACCTCGTTCTGTAGGGGCTGCCTGTATGGGGCTACCCCTGTTCATAGCTAGGAAGAGGCAGCCTGGAGGATTGGTACCCTTCTGTTCTTCCTACCTATGCACTTCTCTTACTCTGCAAACTTAACTATCTTCAGTTGCCCTGGAGGTAACATAAATGTGTAGGCTGAGTTTTCCTCTATAACTCTACTGTAGGAAAAACAATAACACCATTGCAATGATAGAGGATAACAAGAGAACAGGCAGCTGGTGGGGGAGGTGATAGTGAACTGGAGAGCACATACCCTATCTAAAGCGGGAGGGCACTAACTTCTACTGCAACTGGTCCTTGCCTTGAATATGCATCAAGAGTCACTAAATACTCTGGTTTTCCAAAGGAACCAGGAATAGGGATTTTTATATGCATTCTCCCAGTGGTAAAAGCTGGCATTTAATTTGAATTTTTTTTTTTTTTTTTTAGACAGAGTCCTACTGTGTCACGCTGGGTAGAGTACTGTGGAGTCACAGCTCACAGCAACCTCAAACTCTTGGGCTTAAGCGATTCTCTTGCCTCAGCCTCCCAAGTAGCTGAGACTACAGGTGTGCGCCACAACACCCAGCTATTTTTTGTTGTTGTTGCAGTTGTCATTGTTCAGCATGCCCGGGCCGGGTTCGAACCCACCTGCCTCGGTATATGTGGCTGGCACCCTAACCACTGAGCTACGGGTGCAGAGCCTTAATTTGAATTCTTAAAAACCATTGCGTGGGCTTTACTATGGTTGAAAAGAGCCAGCCAGCCACTGATTTGTGATCTCTGGCTTAGGATTTAGATCTTCTAGGAGTGTGGCCCAGGCAATTCCTCATTATGCATTGTTGACAACCTGCTAATGATTAAAATGAATTAGACAATTCCTGTTTTTTTGAAACACTCATGGTTAGTAGGGAAAATAATGAAATAAAGTGTAATAAAGACATTAGAATATATAGTCTGTCATGTGTATATAGCTGTAAAAGTGATTAGCTCTTCCTAGGTTCATTTGGGAGGATGTGGTAAGAAGTAGCATTTGACCCAGGATATGGGAAATCAAGTTTGGTGCATTAAAAGGATTTGGAGCTCTTGCAACTCCTACTGTATGCAAATGTTAGATTTGCATTTGCTGAATCTACTATTTTCTTGATGGATAGTTGGAAATACAGATATTCCTTGACCCCGCTGGGTGGAAGTCTTAGTTCATAAAATGAGAGAATTATTCTTTCTGCCCAGGATATAGAATATTTGTGTGTTTTAGGGGCCTAAGAAACTCAGAGGTCATGTAGCTCTTTTTTTTTTTTTCTTTTTCAAATATTTTTGTAGCCCATTCTTGAATGAGAAAACTGAAAGGGAAATAGCATGCCTGGGGTCACATAGCCCATTAGAGGCAACAGTTGGACTAGTACCCAAAACTGTTCTATGCTTCCCCCCTCTCTTGAGGATTATTGAAGGTTACCCCTAGGCTGGCCTCCCCCACCTGCGAGTAGCCCGTTGCCCCACTTTGGCCTGGCTCCTGGTGGGTGGGGAGAGTTTGCTATCCTACTGCAGCTGGTTCCTTCTTCCATTTTGGTACCCTTGCCTGAAATACCTGCTACCCCAGTTCTTTGTTAGAAAGTCAACCTGTGTTCAAATGACCGCTCAGCTGTGTGACCTGGTACAAGTTACTTAGCCTTTCTTTTTCTTTCTTTTCTTTTCTTTTTTTGAGACAGTTTCACTTTTTTGCCCTTGGTAGAGTGCCATGGTGTCACATGTGGCTCATAACATCCTCAAACTCTTGGGCTTATGGGCTCCTCTTGACTCAGCCCTCCAAGTAGCTGGGACTACAAGCACCCACCACAACTCCCGACTAGTTTTTTTTTTTTTTTTTTTGAGACAGAGCCTCAAGCTGTCCGCCTGGGTAGAGTGCCGTGGCATTATAGCTCACAGCAACCTCCAACTCCTGGGCTCAAG